CCCAATTTCTGACCCTTTTTTGGGGGTTTTTTGGCCGAGTTGAGCTGCCCGCTGACGTCCTGCAGTCGTTTCTCCAATTCCCGTTTTTTCTCCAGGGCCAGCTCCTCTTTCGTCTTCCCCACCGGCTTCTTCAGGGCTGCAAAAATCCCAAAAAATTCAGGGAAAATTTGTAAAAAATGGGAAAAATAGGGGATAAATGAGGGAAAAGATGGGGCAAAAATGGGGAAAAATTGGGAGAAATTTGGGGAAAAAAGGGGGAAAAAAAGGGGGAATTTGAGGGAAATTGGGGGAAAATTGGGGAAAAAATTGGGGAAAATGAATAAAAAGGGGAAAAAATGGGGAAAAATAGTAAACCCCAGTAAACCCCAAACCCCATAATCCAAAAATCCTCCAAAATCCCCAATTTTTCTCCAATTTTTCCCCAATTTTCCTCCAATTTTTTCCCAATTTTTCCCTGATTTTTCTCCAATTTTCCCAAAATTTTCCCCCCGAAAATCGCCAATTTTTCCCCATTTTTCCCGATTTTTCTCATTTTTCCCCAGCAAAGTCCCCAATCTTTTTTCCAATCTTTTCCCAATTTCCTTCAATTCTTCCCATTTTTTCCCCCTAAATCCCTAATTTTTTCCCGATTTTTCTCCTGATTTTTTGCCAATTTTTCCGTTTTTTGCCCCTAAAATGCCCAATTTTCCCCCGATTTTTTTCCGATTTCCCCCCCTAAAATCCCCAATTTTTCCCCTATTTTTCTTCCAATTTTTTCCAATTTTTCCTGTTTTTCCCCCCTAAAATCCCCATTTTTTTCCAATTTTTCTTTCGATTTTTCCCATAAAATCTCCAACTTTCCCCCAATTTTTCTTCTGATTTTTTCCCAATTTTCCCCCTACTTTCCCATAATATCCCAATTTATGTCCCCCGATTTTTCTCATTTTTCCCCATAAAATCCCCAATTTTTCCCACGATTTTTCTCATTTTTCCCCGTAAAATCCCCATTTTTTCGCCGATTTTTGTCCTGTTTTTTTTCCCAATTTTCCCCCAACTTTCTCCTACAATTCCCAATATTTTTTCCCAAATTTCCTCACTTTCACTATAGGGTTTCCGCGGTTTTTTCCTCAGACACGACAGCACGTAGCGCTCCAGCTCTCTCAACGTCGACGGTTTCAGCGTCTCGAAATCGATTTCGATTTCCTCGGGGTTGGAATCTCTCAGCGAAGGCTCCCGGGATTGGATGATGTGAACGACTCTTCCCAATTTTTCTCCGGGTAATTTATTGATATCCAAACTCAGTTGTCTTTTTTCATCGTAACTCATGGGTTTGGATTCTTCTTCTTCCTCTGAATCCAAAAGCGACGAGGGAGGGGCGGGCAAAGGGGGTTTGGAGGATTTTTTGGAGTTTCTGCC